CACTTTACCGAGTGCCTAGTAGGTAATTTGCAGATTACCTAGATAATCTGAACATTACCTAGGTAATTTGAGAAATGGAATAATTTTCGCAGCTTTAACAGATCACCCTAGTTAATCTGCAGATTAGCTAGGTAATGCACACATTAACGAAATCCGTTAGCTTTAGCGGTAACATGCATACTATTAAAACTTGCGAACATTTTCGTAGCCTCTTCTGGACTCTTCCTCGGGCTTCTTTTTTATTCAAAACAAGCTGGCAGTTAACATTCAAATATAAATCAAATAAATGGTAGTAGATTTCGAATACCATATGCATGTGCATTCCCCTTAAGATGTTTAAATAAGATCAAACAATACTATGATTTTGAATGCGCATGTGTTCCACTTTAAATATGATTGAAAATTAAATATTATTGTCTAGTAGAGCCTGCCACGCCATCGAAAGGCACATTTCCTCCTTTAAATTAATGCAGTTAATTTTTTTCAAAATAATAAACACTTTACATTCGAAAGGCACATTTCCATCGAAAGGCACATTTCCTCCTTTAAATTAATGCAGTTAATTTTTTTCAAAATAATAAACACTTTACATTTTAGTTTAACTGAATAAGATGTTTCATGACAAAAATATTGTAGATTATACAGCTCAATGTTAAATCAACATAGTCATAATAAATCAACTGCTTTTATAAAGATTACAATATTTTTCAGAATGTAGGGTAAAGATTGACTTTGTCATGATATTTTTTCAAATTTTTGTCATGTTACAAAGCAAGATAGAGTCCTGTTTTCTGTTGCAAAACAGTGGCAGGGTAGTGGTGCTGCAGTAAGAATAATGGCACCCATTGGGAAGAAGGGCACATGGAAACAACAACTGTGAAAACATACAAAATTGAAAGAAAAATGGGTAAGTCACTATAAATTTTATATAATTATAATATAATTAATAGATGTAAAATACATACTTTTTTTATACTATCCAATGATAATGATTTTATATAGAAATAGTGTACAATTAGACAATTTTTTAATGTATTTGAATTTACGAGGGTCGTCCCAGAAGTACCTGACCTAACATATAAATTGCAGTACTTGTTTGAAAAAAACGACTGTGTTCGAAAGTATCAATCTTATAAAGCTTAAGTTTGAAGATGCTACGTTGTTTAGTATTTTTTTTGGCAGCCATCAATAGTGAACAATCTCAGTGAATTTGTAAACATGGAAAAAATTGGTCATCGTTATGTGATACATTACTTTCATTTGAAAGTTTCAGTCCAACCAATATTAAAGCTAAGCTAGATTCTACACTGGAGGAGTCTGCTCCCTCGTTTACAACAATAAAATATTGGGTGGCAGAGTTTAAACGAGGCTGTACGAGCTGCCAAGACAAACATTGCAGTGGTCAACCAAGTGAGGTGACCATGCCAGAAATGGCAAAAAAAAAAATCCACAAAATGGTATTGGATGACTGTCGACTCAAAGTGCGAGAGCTAGCAGACACGGTAGGCATTTCAAAAAGTGTTGTACATCGCATTTTGACTGAAAATTTGGACATGAGAAAGCTGTGCGCAAGATAGGTGCCGCGTTTGCTCACAACGGGACAAAAACAGCATCGTGAGGATGTTTCAATCAAGTGTTTGTCAATGTTTCACCACAACAAAGCCAAGTTTTTGTGTCGATTCATAACCATGGATGAAACATAAGTCCATCACTTCACACCTGAGACGAAAGAACAGTCGAAACAGTGGACTGAAAGGGGAGAATCAGCTCCAAAGAATGCAAAAACAGTTCCATCTGCTGGCAAGGTCATGGCATCAGTTTTTTGGGATGCGCGTGGGATAATTTTCATTGATTATCTTCAAAAAGGAAAACAATCAACTGTGAATATTATTCGAACTTATTGCAGCACTTGAGTGATGAAATCAAGAAAAACGGCCACATTTGGTGAAAAAAAAAGTGTTGTTTCATCAAGACAATGCACCAGTTCACACATCCATTATTGCGATGGCCAAAATCAATGAGTTAAGGTTCAAATTGCTTCCTCATACACCCTATTCACCAGATTTAGCTCCCTCGGATTATTTTCTCTTTCCAAATTTGAAAAAAATGGCTTGGTGGTAAAAGATTTGCCAACAATGAAGAGGTGGAGTCTGCGATTGAGGGCTATTTTGAGAAGCTCGACAGTTCTCACTATAAACAGGGGATCAAAGCTATTGAACATCGCTGGGAAAATTGTATTGAGCTAAAAGGAGACTGTGTTGAAAAATAAAGATATGTTTTCCCAAATTTTTTGTTTCTTTTTTGTTAGGTCGGGTACTTCTGGGACTACCCTTGTATTTGTGAGTTCTTTGTTTTAAAGCTAAATGTTTATGAATATTGTTTATTTTCTTGTAGGCCCAGAGCATCTTGGCAACACAATGGCAGGAGGTTCTATAAAGTGACAAAATTATGACACCTACCACCTGAAGAATACCGTAATAAGGCTGTATTGGAAAAAGGACCATCTACAGGACTTTGAAGGAATTTGGAATATCCTAGAGCACTTAAGGGTGCTCTAGGATATTTCAAATTTCTCCTTAAAGACCAAGTAAATCAAGTGAACCAGAATTAGAATGCAAGCCTGTATGACACTAGTAAAAGTATTGATAGTCACATCCGTAAGCTTGGACACTTGTTTGTTCTACTTATGGAAGTCAATGTAAAGTTTTTAAAATATTTAATTGATATGCAAGAGTTAGAGTTTGAGCTGACAGTAATCCAGGTCAAACAAATGGCATTTCACCTTGCAAAAGAATCAACCCCTAACAATTGTCCATTTAATGATGATAAAGGCATGGTCATATTGGAGGCAGTGCTTAGAGAGCTATGGTTGGTGATTAAAGACTCCAAAGAAGCTGGCAACATGAACAGCATTTACTGCAAATGATGAGAATGTTCAGGATTTCTTTGACAAATTAGCAACAACAATGAGTAAACTGAATATTTGTAATAAGCCCAATTTTTAATTATGATGAAAGTGGAATGACATTTGTAGTGAAACCTTCCAAAATAGTAACATTGAGTTGTAAAAAGAGAGTCTACAGTATACGTTTTCAGAGAGGATGTCATACAAACTGTTTTAGGTTGTTGTAGTACTGATCTGCAGTTCCCCCTTTGATCATTTTTAAAAGAGTAAGATTAGTTGATGGATTAGGTCAAAATTCTGCTAGTATCATAATACAATTATCTAAAAATGACTGGATTAACTCTCAGCTTTTTTCAGAATGGATGCATTATTTTAAGAATAACATTTTTCCATCAAGACCAGTTTTACTTTTGATGAATTCACATGCATCTCATGTTAGCATCAAAGTTATTTAGTTGCATGAAAACCAAATCTATCTTCAGACCTTCCTAAGTCATTGCAGCCGTATCATCCAATATCTTGATGTAAGTGTCTGCAAGTTATTGAAGAACATGTGGGTTGCTGAACTAGATCATTTCAAAAGAGGCAATTCAACAAAGTTCTCCAACTTGCATTTACTTCTATACTCTGTTTAATTCTGCTTAGTGCATTGTATTCAAGCCAGAGACAATAAGAAACTGCTTTCTATGAAGAAAGATCTACCCTTTCTCTCAAGAAGCAATTTCATGTAGCTCTAGCCCATCCTGCCTCTATTCCAATGATGATGCAAAACTGTTCTTATTCTTTGTAGTTCAACAAGAAAGTTACTGATTCCAACAAAAACAAATGTTAACAACATTCTTTCCCTGCAAAAGCTTAAATCTTACTCAAACTTATAATCCACAAGGTAAATTACTCATCTCACCATCTAAAACAATTGATTATCATGGAAGACCTCAGAAATCAAGCAGTGCAGATCCAATAGTTAAGCCTTCAACATTTAGTGGAGGTTCAAGTGACATTGTGTATGGAGACTGTTTCAGTCCATACTCAAAAGACATAGCCCCAAGAAATGGTACTGATTGGATTTAGTATGGATCTTGTTATCAGTGGTACTGTAAACTTTGTGTGCAAATTTGAGAATACCCTCTGTTCATTTGTAGATGATGTGAATGTTCTTTGGGAGTGTTCTTGGATAAGGAGAATGAGTGATTTTTAATTGTGATCACAATTGATAATGTGCGCTTTTATAAAAAGTCCATGTTTAAATGTACAAATAAAGTTGTAATCACACCTAGAAACTGTATTTAGTTACAATATTACCACTTGCATACCATGATATTACTATACATGTCATGGAATTACTTAATACTGTCAAAGTAAATGTCTTGGTCTAATTACAAATAAAGTATTTACTTTAAAAATGTCATAAGTATATGCTGACAAAAGGAAACTATGAGGAACCTTTTAACAAGGTTATCTGTCAAAATTACCGTTTGGTCTTGATATAACATAACAGTTTATTTTAATTCAAAATATCATGATATTGCCACCCTTCATCCTAATGGGATACACATGAATAAATTTGTTCATAGTAATCACAATCAATAAACAATTCTTGCCTTAAAGCCTTTATTCTATGGCAATCTTTTATAAAATGTTTGAATAAAAATTCAAATTCCTCATTACAAAAAATACATAAATTATTTTTCCGAATTCTAATAAAATTATTTTATTTTTTATTTTTTACTTAACAACTAACAGACTTCAAAGTATGTGCAATTTCTTGTTGTAAATTGCACATTATATACAATTTACTGTATTTATCAGACAATTAATATATTTTTATTTTTTACTTAACAAATAACAGACTTCAAAGTATGTGCAATTTCTTGTTGTAAATTGCACATTATATACAATTTACTGTAATTAAAAAACAAAAATAAAGAACATTCTTTACGCTTTACATGGTATTCCTGTATTAATATCCATAAGAAAAGTATGAAAATAAAAATACATGTGAAGCAATAATTCAATAAACATCAATAAATTTGTAGAAATAAAAATAATAGCAATGACAAACCGTACATCAAATGTTATATAGCCTAGATGGATATTTCAAATTTCATCTCTAGTGGTCCTGATGATAATAGAATATTGGCATTAGCATTCAATATATTAAATAATTTTTTTATAGTTTATTTACTTTCACAAAATAATATTTTCTTAACAACGAATTAGATATATATTGCAGCAAAGATTAAACTATTTCAAGATTTCAAGAACTATGCATTTAAAATATAAGTTATGCAATCAATTTTAAGTTACATTAAACTAATCTGCAATTCAAATGTCTATATTTGATTCCTCTTTCAACTACACATTACTTTATTACATTGAGAACTTTTCAAATTTATCATTTTATTATTTCTCTTAATTACAGTAAAGTTGCTTATTTCAAAATTACTATTTTAAATCTATTGTTTCCATAAAACCGCATTGTGGTTCGTACAGTTTACGTCCAATTCATAAAAATCAGTATCACTTCACTTACATTAATTAAATCAAATCATAATATTTTTGATGTGTTGCTATATTATCTTTTTCCAAATAAAACAAAATAAAAAAAGTTTATCACTTACCACACGACATAATTCCTGTACATCATGCTGCATAAATGAATCTAATGTCTCCCAACTGTAAAATAAAAATCATTAACAGTCAGAAGTTGGAACAATGACAACTGCTTGTGTAGAAGTAAAGTCATTACATTTGCAAAACAACAGTATTGTTTGTACTGTACATAGGAATATTCAAATTAGTGGCAATTCAACACAGCCATTTTAAGGTAACTACATATTCTACTTACAACTTAAAGTCTGTTTCAAAATACTTTTGATTTTTTATCAAGTTTTGTGACCCATCTGACTTATTTTGAAAATAAAATAAATCTCTTATCTATTCAGATCAAAGTAGAAATGAGAAAACAGTTCCAACAACAACCTGAAGATTTTTATTGCAATAATTTTGAATAACTTATAACACTATAATAAAAATGTATCCAAATGAAGGAAACTTTAATAGTGGGGATATTACATCAGGTATGAAAAATATTCAGAAAATAATATCTTTAATAAATTAACTGTACAGGTAGCCCACGGTTTACACCGCAATTCCGTTCCTATAAAAGCTGGTGCAAATTGAATCAGCGTAAAATGAACCCATATTTACAGTGAAGTATAGGGTTAGGTTCTACATAAGAAAAAAATAATTTTGTTTATTAATACAATATAATACAAAATACATATAAATTTAATTTTTAAAATGTATTTTATCATAAAATAAAGCGAAATGTTTTTATTAAAAAATTTTAGTTTTGGATTGCTTAATTTTTCATAAAAAAAAGTATCTATTTTTAATTGTTTACATTTCTATTTTCTTTCATTAAGAATTTTGGAATATGGTCAAATGGATGTGATGATGCTCCTTTTTACATTTGCACTTCACTCCCAATCATTGTTTAACTCACAAAGTTCACCCGCCAAGCTTTCCATAATTAAAAGGATACGCTTTAGATCAGCCATTTTCATAACTCTTGGAATTTCTTCATCGTTCTTCTGTAGCTCTATGTTGGGTCCACAGCTCATTCAAATCTAACAGTTCGTAGAACATTCTCTATTGGTCTAGATCTGACCAATCCCAACGAACCACGATGCTGCCATGACACATGGTGTCGTAGTGGACTCATGTCTTGCTAGGATTCGTCATATCTGGACAAAATCTAGTCAAATCTAGCATAGAGAAAATTGGGGAATTACACAACAAATTGCACAGTGGTGTTATTGTGAATCGGCATAAATTGAACTGGCGTAAACTGAGGGCTACTTGTATACGAGAAACTTAACATCTACTTCTAGTACCAAATTACTTAGTTTCTAATTATGAATTATAGCATAATAATAGCCCGATTAATTATGGTGTGTGTTTGGATTAGTATCAATACATTGAGTCTCAAGATGTTGATACTTAATCTAAGCATTTTAATTTCTCTCTTCAAAAACACAGAAAATGAATGATATATATCAAGTTTATCACTAGAATAATAAAATAGCCAGAAATTTCAATCTAATTTTAATTCTAAAAAATGACATATGTAAACATTAAAGAAAATAATAATAATTGTTTACTAAACTTTAATCATTCACACAATTATTAATTTACTAGAATTCAACTAATTTTAATGAATTAGTTTTATTTAATATTGTAAACTACAGAATCATAGAGTAAATAATTTATTGTCAATGGTGTCTGATAAATTATCCAGATATTGGAAAATACATTAGAATTCATGGAGTGGCTGGTAAAAAGTTCCAGACTTGCCTATCTGAAATTTTATTTCTGAACTTACTTAAAATCATGAATCCTGAAACATATCTATTGTACTTGGAGAAATGCATCATTAAAACTAATAAATGCATTACTGAATTCCAATTATTAGGAAAATGAGTGGAAACTCATACATTGGGTATATCAAACAAACATATTCTTCAAAATAATTATTATTTATATATAAATAGTTTACAATATACACAAAAATATAAATATTTAAATTCTTAGAATATTCACAATCCAATTGCCCAAGAAGTAATAAAATATTATCTAAGTTTCACATTTTTTTGTGAATGTAGTGAAGCAAAAAGAGATTATTCAAAAGACTGACATGTATATATTATCAAATTGCTCCAATGAAAGTACTATGTATGAGATCTTCGATAGAGCAAAAATAAATACTATTTTTAAGCTATATAATTATGCGAAGCAATTTTTAAAAAATGGAAAAAATTCTTAAAGGTAGAGATATTTATAATTTGTATAATGTGTGAGATTTTTATGTTTATATTTAAAAGTATAAATTATTAGAGTTAAAATAGAAATAGAAAAGTTATTCTTAAATGAAGGAAAAGTAAATTGTTCAATTGTAAGATTAATGTGTAACATATAATGATTTGTAATACATGGTAAATAACTATGTATAAAGTCAGTTTGTAATGATGATTTATAAACCTAATACTGTGTTAATTAACAATTAGTGATAACAAATTATGCCCTATGTAACAGACAGAAGCCTTTTACAACTAATAAAGTTTGAAAAAAAATTTTAATGTTTTGGGTGCTGTAATAATTCTAAAATATTAAATATAAAAATTTGTTTAATGTTAAGGATTCCTACTCAAATTTTTGTTTAAATTCCATCATAACTTTCCCTAACCAACTTTGTACAAATTCCCTGATCTTCATGTCCCTTACAGTATGACACATTGACAAAATAAAACATTTGACTTATCATGCACATGAGCTATTGCTTCTCTAATTTTTTAGTTAGTTATTTTTTCTAATTAACAGTCATATATTTTTTATAATTGCTGAATTATTAAAATAAAAATAAAATGCTTTATTAAATTAAATTGCTTTATAATTATATTTTCAAATGGCTTTGAAAAAAAAGAAGCTATTATTTATTTATTATTCATTAACAAATCCTATATAATCCATGTCCAAATATATATATTTGTTAGATTTATCTCATAACAAATCTTCTGAAATTTATATTATTAATAAACTGAAATAAAAAAAATCAAAAATTGCTTTGTTATGCAATCAAAAATTATTAAAATGAAAAATGATAAATAATTTTAATTTATATGGTATTATCATTTTTTTTATTTTTAAATTTTTGGATCCTGAAAATATTCTGCACCCCTTTTTGTAAGTTGTATTGCACCACATTACTTCTTGCTGCCTGTAGAGAGCTATAGTTGGTCAAGCATACTGTCAGAAAAAAAAAAACTAAGCAACAAGACATCCAAGGAGGCAAATTTTCTAACTTTCCATGACTCTTTCTGAACACTAATGAAAATCCCTGATTTTTCCACACTTTCCAGCTGCATAAGAACCCTGTATATTATTGTGAAGGACGGCAAATAAAGTTAAAAATAAAGTTGAATGATTTTAAACAGCAGAATACGTTAGGTCAAAAATTTATAATTATATTTGAGCAATTTTTACAAGGAAACATTTAAAGAGATTTTTCTGTTGTATTATTCCATTCATTTGTTCTTTTGAAAGTTCATAACGTTTATTTATTTACAGTTCACATCAACAAACTGCCTAAGTATCAGATACTATTTTAAGTATATAATATATTACACTGAAAAACTAAATATCAAATTTTCCAATCAGTTCATTAAGAATTCATATAATATATCTAAACTGGTTACCTACCCAAAAGATTTTGTGAGTTTCTTTGTACCAACTGGCTTATCAGAAAACTGTAATTCATAAAATACTCTTTGTAAAGCCAACGCTACACTCCTTGAAGAGTCATCACTCTCTGTAGGCATTTGATAGACAGCCTATGAGTAATTGGTTATTATTAAAATATTGTTGTTATATTGTAATTTTATAAGATTAGAAAACAAACCTGATCTCATAAAGTAAAACATTTTTAATTTAATAAAAATACAGAATAAACTTGTTATAATAATAAATTGTTTTACTAAATAATAATAATAATAATCAGTTATAATTAAGAATGTAAAGAAGATAAATTTTATTAAAATTTAATAAATATTTTATATTGATGAAGATGTAATTACAAAATGATAAAAATGTGCTAACTCACATCACAGATTGTTTTTATAATTTTGTAATTTTGAATGTTTTTTTGTCAATACATAAATATTTAGAAAAACATTAATCTAAATTCTTACAATAGTTACAATGGTAACACAATTTTTTTTAATAATATGCAAGCTGCAATTTGATAATTACATAATAAAATACACCACTATTTTATAAAATCCATTTCAAAAAGATCACTAATATTATGCTAATTTTATTTGAGAAATGTTCTTATTTAATTCTTACTTTTGTTCTTTTAATAAACTTTAACATTATTTTTCATATAAAGTTATCAGAAAAATAAATTTACTACTTCACTAAAATATTAGTAAATATACATTATAATTGTGGACTCAATGAAAAATTATCATTTTTTAACGTATATATATACTATAAATTTTAAAACAATTTTTTTTAAAGTGGGTGAATTTATTTAAAATTATAAATAATAAAGTATTTAATTTATTTAGAATAATTATTGCAATTAAATTTTTATCAGTCATTCCTCCTTTGCTTCAAGATTTGTAACAGTGGTGTATAATTCTTTCCAGTTTCCATTAATGACGCAGTCTATTCAATTAAAAATTTTAATGTCATCTAATAAAGTTAAAATCAAGTTTATGAAAAAGCTTTGCATGCAAAACATTTCATAAAACAATGATTTTTCTATATTTAAGTGTTTTGTTATTTAAATCAATTTCATTTTATTCTGTACTCATTTTTGTTGTACTCATGTACTCATTTATTTTGTATTCATCAATATACAATATTACTGCAATCAAACTGTTATTGAAAGTAATATAAATATAAAGCATATCATAACTGAAACAAAAATAGAAAGAGTTCAAAGGAAAAAATTTAAAAATTCAAAACCACTATGCAAAATAAATAAATACACACACATGCATACAGTAATCCCCCGATTCAGGTGAATTCACTTTGACATAGTCGAAAAATTTTAAATAATCAACTAGATATTTTTACACTATGCATAAATTTGAAATTTTTCGAGGTTAAATGCATTAAATAAATTAACCATACATACATTGTATTTATACTAACATACACAGTAGAAATTATACAAATTTGGGAGTTTCCTATATTATTACTTACAATTGTGTAGCAGAGCTGCCAGACTGAGCAAAAAATTCATTGATTGGACTACTTTTGATGGTGTTTTTGGCAACATGCACGAAAGAAATCGACCGTACACGAGGTGTTTAGCCAGCAGAAAAAAGGGTAAGGAAAAGAGAAGGGGAAGAAGGAGGGAGAGGAGATAGACAGTAGAGAAAGGTAATATCCCCCTGAACAGCATATATATGGCTACAGTACCCTTTATGTTTGATGTTGGCATGCAGTTTTTAGGCTACAAGACCAAAGTCCCCTGAAGGGTCTAAAAGAAAACCTGAATGTAGTGAACACCAATAATTGAGTGCAGCCACGAATAACTAAGTGTAGAAGTTAGTGCCAAGTGGCTGTTAGTAGGAAGACTTATATCTACTTAATACTAATAAAACTGAACGCTATTGCAAATCTTAATACTACTTAACAGCTAGACAGACAGCACAAAAAGCAAATACAATGACAAACTAGACGAGACAAACGAGCAAGACCCAAAAATTTTATTTATTTTTAATATTAACCTACTCACTAACTAAACTAACCTACCATAATCTAGGACGAACCTAACCAGATAACTAAAGCTAACAAACACTAATCTAATTTAATTTAACCTAACCTGAAACCAAGCTAAGAGTCCCTAATCTAGATTACAACTAGGACTAACCAAATTTAGACTGAAAAAGAAGACAGAAAATAAGAATTAAAATACAAAGTTGAAAAGCAGCTATATACTGACAGTTGAAACAAAGCAAGAGAAAGCTAATTGCCATCCATGCCTCCTGGAATGAATGCTCTGGGACATGGATGTTTTGGCAACAGTCACCAATTAGATGATTTCAGTTTTTAACAGTCTCTACATACAGTCTTGCCATTTCACATATCAAGTATTTTTAATCATTATTGACACAAGAGTGGTTTCAAATAGGTAACAGTAAAGTTGTGAGTTTTAGTACAATTTATAAAAATAAATGATAAAAAAAATATATAAAAAAAAAACACTGATTTAACCCTTTACACAGATGTATATTTTAAAAACACTTTAGTTAAAACTGTTCTACCAAGTGAAAGTGAAATATTTGAGAACATGGAACAGATCCTGATTTTTAATTAATTAAGTAGCTTTCTGTGGCTCCATTTTCCAACTCTCTCTTTTATGCTGTTTTTGCAGAACCAATTACTCACATAAATGAAGAGATTACCATATGTGTATGTGCAATGATCCAATAAAAATATTTAAAATCAGATTGTTTAAAATTATATTTGATTGCATAACTAATACAAATATTTTCATATTTCCATACCTTTCTTAACTGATTAGTGAAAAAGAGTGTTTGTAGTAGAGAATTCATATAACAAGTAGCACCTTGGTTTTTTAATCCTACATAACCTGTATGCTTCTTTGAATCCCAACTAAACAAAAAAAATTAAATTAATATTTTTAAATTAAATTTTGTTTTAAGTATTCTTATATAAATAAATATTTCCATTTAATTAATTAAAACACTAAAAATTATAGAAATTGGAAAATAAAACTTAAAAATTATTTAAAATCTTTAAAACATGTAAAAAATATATTAAATTTTCTGCTTACAGTCCTATTATAATGAAAATTTTACTACAATTATATATTTAATCAATTTATATATATATATATATATATAAAACATTCTAAAGATTGTTTATTTTCATGGAAAAATGTTTTTTTACTTAAAAGAATTTCTTACCTGACACCATGAGGAGCATCTGCACATACCCAAACTTCAAGTATTATAGTATCATCTTTAATAAAACCTTTTTCTGGATCCAAAATATCCTAGATTATAAAATAAAAAACTTTTCAATATTTTATGCTTTTTCACATTAATGTGTTTCTAATAATTGCAAGTTTAAAAATTGATTTACTAATTTCCAAATAAATCTTTAACTCAAAATTTCAATGGCTTAGCAATTTTTCATTACTTTAAAACAAACTCTTACAATAACAATACATTAATTTTAGTTGTTAGTGTATAAAAATATTACTTCCTATTTTGTATGCTGTGTGATCAAATCATATCTATGCAGAATATTTAATTTTTAGCTAAGAATAATTTCTGATGTTTCAATTTTATTTTAGCAGTAGTTAATTTGCAAAAAATTTTACATAAATGATGTAAACTATTACATGAAAGTAATATAATTATAAAAAAATATTAGAAATAAATAACTATTTTTTTAATATTTCAAAATGCTTACATTCCACGCCATAAAATGACTAAATCCCCAATCATTCTCTTTACTGTAGAATAGATGTTGAATTTCTGAAAAGAAAATAGGTTAAGGAATTAAATCTCTTAAATAATAAACTTTATAATAATGAAAATATAAAATATTGAAAAAATTTTTCTTACTTCTTACAAAATTTTCTTCTGTTCCCTCTTTCTGACCAATAAGTCTTAATTCTGCTGCTGCATTACAGGACCAAGTTCTAAATAAATAAAGATATGTATTATACAGTAGNTACAAAAAAAAAAAAAAAAAGCTGAACAAGAACAACTGTGTGGCTACATCCCTGTAAATAACAAAAATATATTTTTAATGTGTTATGAAGTTGATAAATTTAATTAAGCTTAAAAAATGTATTTGATATACTTAAAAGTATATCAAATATCAAAAAGTATATCAAATGTGTATTTGATATACTTAAAAGTATATCAAATACACATTCTTTAAGCTTTCTTTAAACATTGTTTAAGCAATTAAATTTATCAAAGGCTTATGTAAAGTATGTTTGAAAATAATTATCAAATTCTCATAATGTACAAAATTATTTTAAATAATTTTCTTGTATGAATTCAACAATTACAATTTTTAAAATTTAGTTTACTGTTTAAGTAAAGAGAAAATTGTTTATTGAAAGTATTAATTGTTTTAAAATTATACTGTAAACATTTTTGATTTTTTTTTCTGTAATTTTAATCATATTAATAAATTATAATTTTTATTTAAGAATATTACAAAATTAATTTGAGAACTGTCAAAATTTTCTATCTTTAAATTATCTGTTTTCTACAGATAATTTGAAATTCAGAACTTCGTTTGCCGTTCATAATCAGTGATGATCATCTTATCTTGTCGAATTAAATAATTTATTTAAATATACTAAGAACAAAACTATAAATTTTTAATTATTTTATTACCAAATTGAATTATGGCATCATATATTTTTATAACTATTTTTTAAAAATATTTTTCTAGACGTCGGTACCAGTTCACGCTCCAGCAGCTGGAGTTATAGAAGAATTATTGGTAGAAGATGGAGCTACTGTACAACCAGGAATGGATTTATTTAAATTACGTGTATCTGGTTAGTCTGTCCTAATATTCATATTTTTTGTTTAACATCATAAAATCAATTGTTGTGTGTTTTTCAAATCATTCAATAATCTAATGTTCTCTATAATTTGTTAGAAATTATTTACAAAATGATTACACCTAATAATATTAAGAGCATTATCAGCTGTGTTCTAGAACTTTAAGTATATTCAAGTTCTTGATTATAGCCGATAATGATTTTATAAAAGAGTGAAAATGTTTACTGAATAAAAATTTCATTTGGTTTCCAGAATTAAGCCAAATTAAATAGATGAGATAAACCAGAATTTTGGTTTATCTCATCTATTTAAAAAAAGTTCATATGTATGTATTGCAAACCAGAGGAAATGCAGAGAAAATTGATACCAAACTATAAGAAACTTTATTGAAATGTCACATTTAACATTTGCAAATTAAAAAGTTGTTTTCAAGATATAATTTCTAGTTAAAATTATTTTAATAGATTATTATATTCCATAATACAGAATCAAAATGGATATCTGATAAAACAAACATTTTATTTTAGAACATTTTGTTTCAACCCTAACAGTCCTGTGTAATAATAATAATAATAATAATGGAAGAAACTTGGTGGTATGGGAATTTGTTTAATTTTAAGATTTTAATTATGATATCATGTTTTATGAAATGGATTTTGTTTTTTACACTTTATTCATTATAATAGATACAAAAACTTTTACTCATGTAGAAAGATTTTATTTTTTAAAATGAATCAATCAATCAAAGTTAACTCTTCATACAATAAAACTTTACAATTTTTATTAAGACTGTGTCTTAATATTTTTCTAAAATAGCTTAAAATTATATTAATACAAGTTTTTTTTAACATAAACTATTTTTGAAATTAATTTTTTTTATAAATTTTTATGTGATCAGAATATAAACAATCCTATTTGCAAATAGTAATTCATTGTTTGATTTAAACGGCTAAACAACCAGACAAATTTTCTTGATTGATAAGTAGAATTAGAAGCAAAACATAAAGTTACTTTAACATAAATATTTTCACTGAACCATTAAACGTGCATTTTAATATTTAATTTTTGCAACATAAGTACTGTTTTGTCATAAATATTCGTGCAATTTAGTCATAGCTACAAAAATACATCTATTCTATTGGTTAATGAATCTATCAGATGTTGCTTTTAGCAAATGCAGTAAAATATTGCATATATTTTTTACTAAATTAAATTTATGTAGACAGGAAAGTAAATTTTTAATTTTAGAAACCTTATATATTAGTTCTGAAATGACAGTGAATATTTATATAGACCCTTTTTCAGCTGAATGTTAATAAAATTTATGAAAAATCATATCTTGAATTACAATTGAATCTATAGTTGGTATTTTAAATACTTTAAGAAAATGTAATAATTTTTAAATTAAAAAAAATAGTGTGTTGTTTTTATATTAATAAATATGTTTCTTGTCTAGAACTTTTATTAATTTGGCATTTTCACTTTAATATCATTGTTATGATTATGTTTATTTGTGTATATTCTATTGATGAAAATGATTTCATATTTACTTAGTATTTTCATTTCCACTGTAGAGGATAATTTCACAAAATAAATATGAAATTATTTTATTGTGATTTATCTATTGTAAGAATGTAAAAAAAATTCTTGCTTTTGTTTATNTTAGTATATAATTGGTGTTTAGCATTATATTTAACAGATTTTGGGGTGAGGAATGGATTAATTTATTTTATATTGTTTCTTATGGAAAAATTCGTTTTGGTTTTAGAACAACTTTTAGGAATGAATTACCTTTGAAAACCAACGTTTGACTGTATTTAATTATTATTAAACATGCATATGCATACGAGGGTGGCCCAAAAAAACCGAACTGAAAGTGCACTGCCATTTGTAGACATAGTAGAGAGTTCTCCCATTACATGGGGTTAGTAGAGACCTTCACGAAACAGCTGTCCAAACGGCGTCAATTTGTAGGTTTAAATTTGAGTGTAGTGTTGTGTTTCTCTTACTGTTATTTTGTTCCACCTGCAAAGTTCTGGGTGTCCTTCAACATCTAGAAATGATGAAAACGTTGAAAAAATCTGCCAAAAATGTTTTAGGATATCTGCGAGAGGATGTGTGAAGAAAATGCCTGGAACTTTGGCAATCAGGTGACTGGTTCCTTCATCACGACAACACCCCCGCACACATGGCCTTACGAGTGACCCACTATTTGGCCTCTCGGGGATGGCTTGTCGTTCCCCACCCTCCATATTCACCAGACCTAGCCCCATGCAACTTTTTTCCGTTTCCGAGAATGAAGAAAAATCTAAAAGAGAAACGTTTTGATGATGTGGAGGTGGTAAAAACAGCTTCTCTAAGGTCACTGGATGATATCATGGTTGAAGCATTCCAGAGATGCTTCAAACAGTGGGGAAAAAGACTTGACAAGTGCATCGCATCTAATGGAGAGTACTTGGAAGGTGACTGAAAAAATTTTGTAAAAAAGTTAATAAATACCGTTTTTACACAAAAAATCCAGTTTTTTTGGGTCCCCCACGTATATAAATGTAAATAAATTATCAATTAAACTTAAATTGATATTCAATTCATGGAAAATGTATTTAATGTTTAAGTAGACACTTCAATATTCTTGCATACATAAAGTAAAACTATAACTTTATATTTCTTGTCAAATTAGTTTATATAATGATATACACTGGTGGACAAAACTTAAGGACGAAGAATAAGTGGGCATGTATAATGAAAACTACATGTGGTTGTAGATCAAGAAGAAAACAATAATATTTTCAACATGTTCAACATGATTTAGTATAAATAATTGTGTTCAAAGGAAGTACGCAGGATGTCAAAGAGGGTGTTTTTGTAAAAGGCGCATATTGTCTTAAGACATGGTGTACAAAAAATGAACAATACTTACTACAAACAATCCTGATCGTCATGTCAGTAAGGGATATGGCCACTGTGAAGTGCAATGCAACTTTGTACACAATGTGGCATACTCAGAACAACATGATCCAGGAGCTGTTGAGGCAAGTTGTCCCATTCCTCTTTCACTACACAAATGAGGGTCTCCTTGTTTGTCAGTGGATGTTGTTGATCAGCAGTACATCTCCCCAAGGCATCCCATACATTTTCAATTGAATTCAGGTTAGGAGAATGGGCTGGCCAGACTATGTGATGAATATCTTAGCTGTCAAGATACTCCTCTATGGCTTGTGTGCAATGACAAGGTGCGTTATCATCCATAAAATGAAACTTTTCACCGACAGCACCTCAGAAAAATTGAACATGTGGGAGAAGAACTTCGTCAATGTACTGTTGTGCAGTTATGGTCCCTCAGTCAAGCACATACAGGTCCGTACAGCCATTGACCATGATACTGCAAGTTGGATATTGATCCCTTTCCTGAATATTTTCAGGATGATAAGCACTGCTAACCTTGCACCATATCAGCTGCTGTCTAATAGACTGAATCTACTCTCATCTGAGAAGAGCATGGTAGCCCAGTCATCATTAGTCTAATTGTGATCCAGATGGCAACATTGCAAACGGGTGCTTCTGTGAACTCTCGAGAGTGGGACACATACAACAGGTCTTTGGCATATAGTCCTTTCTTTTGCAAACATCTTGCAACAGTTTTTTGGGATATCTTAGTTCATGTGGCTGCCTGTAAATGACTTGCCAGTTTACCTGCTGTGCTGTGTTGGTTTCTTTTCACTGAAAGAACAATATACAGTGGTACCTCAGGATACGAAATTAATCCGTTCCGAAACTGAGATCGTATCATGAAAATGTCGTAAGGTGGATCATCTTTTCCCATACGATTACATGTAAAACCAAATAATTCATTCCAACGCGAAAAACATACTCAAATTAAAGCCAAGTAATACATTAAAAAAATAACTGTAGTAAGAAAAACAAATGAAAAATGCGAACTAATGTAACGTCGTATGGTGAGTTTTTGTTCGTATCGTGGAGCAAAAATATGTTCGAATTTCATGTCGTATCCTGAAAATTTCGTATGCTGGGGCGTTCGTAACCTGAGGTACCACTGTACTGATCTTCTTGGGGTGTTATACTGCTAGGACAACCTTCCCCATTGCGCCTGCTGCACATTCCACTAGTTTGAAATGCGGCCCATAGTCTAGAAACAATATTGTGTGCAATGTTAAATTCATGGACAACATTTGTTATTTTCCACCCTTCTTCCAGCTTTCCAATTATTGTTCCCTGCCATGAGTAAAATCATCTAAATGATGCTGGAAGACATGTTCAGAATTTTATTATTGTAACTTCACTCCTTCCCATTCAAATTTCACATTCAACAAAAACTGACTGCATGTGCATATTGCCTGAAATTGCTTATCTGTACTGTCACGTGACCGACACGTGCAGAACTCAAACATTTGCACAGGTTTTACATAACAGAGTACAGTACATCGCGATTTCAAGCATATTTCAACATGCTGCTGCGGTTCAATTTGTAACTGTAATTGTTGAAAATAGCATTTGTCCTTAAGTTTTGTCCACCAGTGTAATTAAAGGATTAAATTAACAGTAATTTTTACTAAAGCAGGTAGAAAAGTTGCTTCTTTTAATTTATAATTACATGTAGTTTTATATTATTCTATATTTGAAAATGTTTTTTTCTGTGATGAGTTTATATATACAGGGTGTTTCAAAATTACTTGAACAAACTTGGATTGCTTCCTCATATGAAAATAAGTCAAAACGATCTTATGAGCACCTCCCATTCACATTGATAGATTGGCAGAGTGAGTCCTATTGCATGGCTCTCATATTTGTTTGATTTTAATATGATGGATTTTTATTGTGGGAACATCTAAAATTATTTGTTTATTCTGCTCCAGTTGATGATGTAACAATTCTGGAGCAATATATTTTGAGTGCCTTCAAAATCATTTGTGGACAGTCTTGAAATCAGTGGATTGGTGACAGCCCTGATTAGGTGAATGAATGCATGCTCTCTTATGGAGGACATTTTAACATTTATTATAGGTTTATCTAGTAATAACTGTCATAATGCTAATGAAAGGATGTGTATTAGCTACAAGTTTATTAAGATTATATGTATTCTCGAGTTTCGTTTTCTCGTAAACCATTCTTTTCTGGACCTTGTTCATTGGACTTTTCCTCCATGTAAGGAGGCATCCCCAAGCTTTTTCAAGTAAGTTTGAAACATCTTGTACGTAAGACTTTTATGTTTAAGAGTTAATTTTCAACTTCAGTGAACAATTTCTTTTGACATGGAATATGGCAATAGTGGAAACTTGAAATGAAAATTTATATTTGAAACTATAAAAATAATAAAATTGAAGTTGTAATAAAATAAAATATTCAGTTAATTGTTTGTATTAAGTTGTCAAGTAACTAAAACTACTGAACACTGTTAGTTAGTCACAAAGTTTTGCTTCACCAAGCTGGTCAAAATGTATGGAGAATCAAAGTGAGCACCATGACCTGTTGATGAAATATGAACATTTTGTGGTTCATTTTAAACCCAAAATTTGTTAGAAAATGTACATAATATGCACATTAGGGGTCAGCAACACTGAATTTTGCTCTAGCAGCCAATTTTTGAAGCAGCATTTTTCTCAAAAATCAAAATTTGCATATTCAGCAAATTTGGTTGAAATTTGCCCAGTACTTTCTACAGAGATATTTGAACAGCATCTTTTTAATTATGATCATCATGTACCAGCTTACTCTAAGTTATTGAAGTTCATTTCAATACTAATTTTTTTAAATACAATAAATTTAATATTTTAAAACCACAATTTACCTAAATTTTGTTGCTGCTTTTTTTTTCCTCGATTAAGTATTAATCAGTATTTTCTAACCAATTAAGTATTTCATAATTAAAATTATTTTTGGACTGTTTGCACTTTATTTCCTTAACTTAATTAATATCTATTTAATAGTTTAAAAATTTATTTAGGCTTTCTCAGAAATGTCAAAATCTATCAACTCCAGCTTTTGCACAAAACTTTCACACATCACAAATTACAAGTAAGAATCTATCTAATTACTTAAATCTAACAATTAGTTATTAAAATCTTTAGTTATATTCAATTACCGTTAAACGTTTTCTGTGTTTTTATACTTAAAGGAAACGAAGTTAGAGTCGTAAAATGTCCCCAGTTGGCTGAATCATTAAGTGAAGGAGATATCAGATGGGAAAAAGGTATAAACATACATATATTTAGTTAATTGTATGTCTAAAAAGATATTGGATATAAAAATATAAGGTATTAGCTATTACTGTATATGATTTTTTAAGTTATTCATAGCAAATACATGTCGTTTGTCTTATTTAAAGGTTTTGCATAATAAAAATCTGCTTAAAACTGGTAAAGCAAAGAATAAATTCATAGTTAATTTGAATAAAAATATAAACTGAGTTTCTTATCACTTGATAGTATAATATAGATTTGATCTTAATTTTTTTTAAATACAATCTAGTCATTATGCATGACATACTCTGAATTTGCAAAATAAATCAAATTATTATTTTAAGTATTTAAATTATCAATTGGTACAAATATTTTATTAAAAATGTTTGTGAATTTCTGTGGCTCCAGTTGATCTCGTCACACATTTGCAATGATTGTTTATATCCCTAAAAATCAGTAAAATCTCTCAGAATCAGGATTTCTGACACCACTTAGTCGATTACATGGACTAAGATGCAAATGAAAATTTATAACTAACCACCGAAATTTTAAGAGGGACTATTTCTATTGTATATATATATATCCTGATGATATATATATATCATCAGGATATATATATAAAACAATATAAAATAGTTAGATATTACAATTCTAACATATTATAATTTTTTCTTATAAAAGGAAACTCGAATAATTGATCCACTAATCTAACCTTTATGTTTCTTAGAGAGTTTACAATGCATATTACCTACGATACTGATCAGTTCTTTTCATCTGTAGATCTCTCTAGCTTTAAGATGAACAAACCATTTCTGTTATGTTAACAGTTGAGAGATATGAGCTGAACTGATTTAAGTTGAGCTAAGCTGATGTTTAGGGGTGATCTGTCTCTATTTATTAGAAATCTCCTCCAATCAGATCAGCTAAAATAAGCCTTTCACTTTTCTGATGTGTGACAGAAGTTGGGCTGTTTTGCAGATAGTCCGTGAGAAATCCCATGCTAAACTATCACTTTTGAAGGAACTGTGTTATCTTTTTCCAATTGAACAGGAAGTTCCTTTTTATAACTTTGTACATTTTTACAAAAACAAATAAAATTAACAAATTATATTTAATAAGTAATTTTAACAAAATCAGTTTCTCAGCTCTAGAGTCTCATCTCGCATGTTCAATAAATTTAATTACGTTATTTTATTACTTTTGTAATTTATGTAGAAAATTTTTGATGTTGCTGCTCAACTTCTTGTTAAATTCAGTGTTTTTTTAAACAATGAATTGTCTAATTAATTTTTATCTGAAAATCAAGCATAATTAAACTGTCGGTCAAAATTGTATCTTTTAAAAAATTATGGTATGTATAAGTGAATATAAAAAAATTATTTTAAATAAAATTACTTTGAAAGAACTGTTTATTTAATATTATTTAAAATTATGACTAAATCAAAAATTTTTTAACAGCTGTGGGAGATACAGTAGCAGAAGATGAAATTGTTTGTGAAGTGGAGACAGATAAGGTATGCTAAAAATCAGTTTGTTTAAAATGTAACAAAATATTTGACAGTTTTGAAATATTTTAATTCTGTGTTTAATTATATTTGCCATATAAGATAAAAATATATATATATTAAATGTAGGAATATAGCCAGAAATTTCTGTGTGTAAATCACCTGCATTGGTTGTGGGTTTGCATGGACTTAGCATAAGTGGGTAGGCTACCGTAAAAACACATTAACTCATGATCACTAGCAATGTATTATTGTGCAAGAAGTTGCCGTGTCGGTATTGCAATTCCTTGCACATCATATGCAAACCAGGGGTACACATGACAATGCTAATACAAAAAAAAAAAAAAAAGCTGAACAAGAACAACTGTGTGGCTACATCCCTGTAAATAACAAAAATATATTTTTAATGTGTTATGAAGTTGATAAATTTAATTAAGCTTAAAAAATGTATTTGATATACTTAAAAGTATATCAAATGTGTATTTGATATACTTAAAAGTATATCAAATTCTTTAAGCTTTCTTTTGTACATTTTTACAAAGTACATTCTTTAAGCTTTCTTTAAACATTGTTTAAGCAATTAAATTTATCAAAGGCTTATGTAAGGTATGTTTGAAAATAATTATCAAATTCTCATAATGTACAAAATTATTTTAAATAATTTTCTTGTATGAATTCAACAATTACAATTTTTAAAATTTAGTTTACTGTTTAAGTAAAGAGAAAATTGTTTATTGAAAGTATTAATTGTTTTAAAATTATACTGTAAACATTTTTGATTTTTTTTTCTGTAATTTTAATCATATTAATAAATTATAATTTTTATTTAAGAATATTACAAAATTAATTTGAGAACTGTCAAAATTTTCTATCTTTAAATTATCTGTTTTCTACAGATAATTTGAAATTCAGAACTTCGTTTGCCGTTCATAATCAGTGATGATCATCTTATCTTGTCGAATTAAATAATTTATTTAAATATACTAAGAACAAAACTATAAATTTTTAATTATTTTATTACCAAATTGAATTATGGCATCATATATTTTTATAACTATTTTTTAAAAATATTTTTCTAGACGTCGGTACCAGTTCACGCTCCAGCAGCTGGAGTTATAGAAGAATTATTGGTAGAAGATGGAGCTACTGTACAACCAGGAATGGATTTATTTAAATTACGTGTATCTGGTTAGTCTGTCCTAATATTCATATTTTTTGTTTAACATCATAAAATCAATTGTTGTGTGTTTTTCAAATCATTCAATAATCTAATGTTCTCTATAATTTGTTAGAAATTATTTACAAAATGATTACACCTAATAATATTAAGAGCATTATCAGCTGTGTTCTAGAACTTTAAGTATATTCAAGTTCTTGATTATAGCCGATAATGATTTTATAAAAGAGTGAAAATGTTTACTGAATAAAAATTTCATTTGGTTTCCAGAATTAAGCCAAATTAAATAGATGAGATAAACCAGAATTCTGGTTTATCTCATCTATTTAAAAAAAGTTCATATGTATGTATTGCAAACCAGAGGAAATGCAGAGAAAATTGATACCAAACTATAAGAAACTTTATTGAAATGTCACATTTAACATTTGCAAATTAAAAAGTTGTTTTCAAGATATAATTTCTAGTTAAAATTATTTTAATAGATTATTATATTCCATAATACAGAATCAAAATGGATATCTGATAAAACAAACATTTTATTTTAGAACATTTTGTTTCAACCCTAACAGTCCTGTGTAATAATAATAATAATAATAATGGAAGAAACTTGGTGGTATGGGAATTTGTTTAATTTTAAGATTTTAATTATGATATCATGTTTTATGAAATGGATTTTGTTTTTTACACTTTATTCATTATAATAGATACAAAAACTTTTACTCATGTAGAAAGATTTTATTTTTTAAAATGAATCAATCAATCAAAGTTAACTCTTCATACAATAAAACTTTACAATTTTTATTAAGACTGTGTCTTAATATTTTTCTAAAATAGCTTAAAATTATATTAATACAAGTTTTTTTTAACATAAACTATTTTTGAAATTAATTTTTTTTATAAATTTTTATGTGATCAGAATATAAACAATCCTATTTGCAAATAGTAATTCATTGTTTGATTTAAACGGCTAAACAACCAGACAAATTTTCTTGATTGATAAGTAGAATTAGAAGCAAAACATAAAGTTACTTTAACATAAATATTTTCACTGAACCATTAAACGTGCATTTTAATATTTAATTTTTGCAACATAAGTACTGTTTTGTCATAAATATTCGTGCAATTTAGTCATAGCTACAAAAATACATCTATTCTATTGGTTAATGAATCTATCAGATGTTGCTTTTAGCAAATGCAGTAAAATATTGCATATATTTTTTACTAAATTAAATTTATGTAGACAGGAAAGTAAATTTTTAATTTTAGAAACCTTATATATTAGTTCTGAAATGACAGTGAATATTTATATAGACCCTTTTTCAGCTGAATGTTAATAAAATTTATGAAAAATCATATCTTGAATTACAATTGAATCTATAGTTGGTATTTTAAATACTTTAAGAAAATGTAATAATTTTTAAATTAAAAAAAATAGTGTGTTGTTTTTATATTAATAAATATGTTTCTTGTCTAGAACTTTTATTAATTTGGCATTTTCACTTTAATATCATTGTTATGATTATGTTTATTTGTGTATATTCTATTGATGAAAATGATTTCATATTTACTTAGTATTTTCATTTCCACTGTAGAGGATAATTTCACAAAATAAATATGAAATTATTTTATTGTGTTTTATCTATTGTAAGAATGTAAAAAAAATTCTTGCTTTTGTTTATTTTTATCATTGTTGAAAATTATACTGATTTAAATAAATATTTTTTGTAAAATCTTAAAAAAAGACGACGACTTTATAATTTACTTTTACTCATCTTCTGTTTAATTAATTAGGAGATGCTACAGTAGCAAAGCCTAAAGAAGCAGCTGCAGCCCCTCCTAAAGAACAACCTCCTGAAAGCATCCCACCACCACCACCACCACCACCTTCACCAGTGTCAGCAGAATCTCCCCCTGCTGTGAAACCAACTCCATCAGATGGACCAATACCTTCTGTACCTCCACCTCCACCATCTGTGCCAGTTACCCCAATGGTTTCTGTTCCAACTTCAACTGTTAAACCTGCTGTAGCAGATCCTAGTAAAATTACTGATTCTAGGTCTGAACAGAGGGTGAGTAAAATGTTTTAATTACATTGCTAAAAGCTGTAGGAGTAAAAGAATTCTCTGATTTCCTTTTTCCCAAACAATACAAACTTGCAGGACATCGGTTGTTAGATGAACTATTGCACAAACAAAGCAAAAATAATAAAGTTTAGATTGTTACAATAAATATAATTATAGATAACCCTCATTGTATGTGGTTCTTGATTAATGTGGATCTGTTCTGAAAGAAGTTCAAATGTAGACAGCTCCACAGACCTCAGAGAAGTCAACATGAGTTGACCTCTTCTTCCTATTCCTGCTCATTGTTAGTTAGTAAGAAAAAGTGAATCTTAGTTTTTCTAGTGCAGTGCTCTTTGAATAATTTAATTTCTATTTTCAAATTTAATATAATTTCTGCAAGTATTTCTATTTTAATTCCTTTTACAGAAAACTCTATGAAAGAAAAAAGAGGGAGCAATTGTTCGGGTAACATTTGATAAATATTTGTGTTGATTTTTAAAATTTTTTACTTTTTTGCGGAGGCTATTTTAATGGTTAGTCTAAACCCATATTAGAAAATAACATCAAAGGTTGATTATAACTTGTTTCTTTTTTTATTTTTATTTTTTGTCCAACTACACTGTACTTTGAAGTAACTCAGAAATTAATTTATCTCCTCTTTGATATATTTGCAGAACCATTTAATCATATATATATCAAGAATTACTTGTAATTACATTTTATTAATTTCTATATTTTATTTTAAAAACTAATTTTTTTCTATCATACTTGATGAAAGGTTACATTCTAAGAACTTATAAATTAGGCAAATATTTTAAAATTACGCTTCATCTCATTAATCAGCTGATTATTAAACTAGATATATTAATGATCTGTTATGCAATAATTAAATCTTTTAGCTAGAAAATAACAAGAATTTCATCTTTAAATTGCTTTTATCAACAAAGTGTAAAAATAATATATGTTTTGCATTAATAGGTGAATTGTAAATGTCAGATTTTGATATTTAATCATTTAAAAGTTTGTTATTTCTTTTCATTACATATGTAAAACATTTTATGTTTGAATGAATTAGTGAAGAATTAAAATTGGTATATATCAATCTTAATAAGCTTGTAATGGACAATAGTATAACCTTACAAGATTGCAGATTAGAATATTTCTATATTGGCATTTTCACTTTTTTTGCCAAAATATCTTTGGTTAATACAGATAAGTAGTAAAAATTATGATAATATAACCATAAAGGCAGCCATATTGCTTCGTAAGAGCTCATCATACCACGGCCCAACAAGTGAAGTATGCATCACTCACTGCAGTAATGAACTCATCAATGAATATCAAAATACATTTTAGTACCCCAATGTACTATTTGATGCATATTGGAATATATCTGTGAAATATTTAATAATAAACATTGGAATATTGAATGATTAATTCTTCTTTGAAGTTAAGTAATAAATATGATCATAAATGGATTAAATTGTATAAGTTAAATTAATTTAATTGACAAACAAAACATTTAATTTAATTGCTGGTAATCTAATGAAAATCTCTTTTGAAAAATATATCTTTTAATGAAATTTTCCAATTTAGGTTAAAATGAACAGAATGAGACAACGTATTGCCCAACGTCTTAAAGAAGCTCAAAATATTTATGCAATGTTAACCACTTTTAATGAAATAGATATGAGGTATGCTACTACTAAATTTTCAAATTTATGAATTGTTTTTTCTAATTATAGAAAACATTAATGAATACTTCAAATTGTATTTTTAATTTCAATTTAAATCAAATAATTTTATTTTAGTTTATTAATTATTTCTCACAACTAGTAATATAATAGAAATGCGAAAACTTCACAAGGATGCTTTTCTGAAAAAGCACGGCATTAAATTAGGATTTATGTCTGCTTTTGTAAAGGCATCTGCCTATGCTCTGAAAGATCAACCAATTGTTAATGCAGGTAAATTTATTGATAAGTAGTAATAATTTGTTCAGTATTAAAATTATTCTTCTAAATAATTATTTTTACAGTTATTGACAATTTGGAAATTGTTCATAGAGATTACATTGATATCAGTGTTGCTGTAGCTACACCAAAGGTATATTATGTATATTGAAGTTATTGAAGATAAGTTCAGCACTGTCAGAATCAGTTTTATTGACTAGAATTGTTACTAATCAAAAATTTTATAGTTTGTAAATTATTTGAATCATTCAATAATTCTAGGCAGCAAAATTTATTCTGGTACTGAAGTGCAAGTCTAATTATTTATATGTGGTATGAACAATAAGTAACCTTAAAAGCTACATAAAACTTCAATGAATAATATCAGAAACTAAAAACATTAAGAATTTATACTTGGAATAATCAAGTACAACATGGTATTGTCAATATTAGCATAAGTGATGTCGGCATCTGGAAAATTCGAGTCTAAAATGACAGCATTTTTGGAAGTTTGTATTTGGGAGGAGATGAGTGTGATATGTTTTTTGGTGAATGAAGAGATCTCCATCCATCTCTGCCAGATGGATGGTGCAGCAGCAAGTTGATGATTGCACAACTCTTCTGAAGAGGTACCTACAGGAGGTGCTTTTTTCTTTCTAGTTGTAGGTTGCAGATGAAACCTAAGACCCAGATTCACAAAAGTGTTATGTCATAAATTCGTTGTATCTAACATCATATCTGCAATTCACGAAACTCGTCATAACCCAATTTACTATTTACAACAAAATATCGGTGATCTGAGTTTGAGAGTACAGTATACTATTTTATCCAATAGCAATGTATCTCAGGAACTTTTAAATGGTGCAAGTTGTCTCCGGGAGACATGAGTTTTGGTGATAATATGGAAGAGAGAAAAAGAAGGCATAATTTTACTTTTTCTGAAATACAAACATTGATAATAATCAAAGAAAGAAAGAAAAAAAAAAATAATAGCAGGGAGGATAGATCCAACTATTACTTCTTGGAGATTATTAACACTATTCACATCTTTGCAAATTAATGTATGTAGATGAAATTTGATGTAAATGAAAGATTACAAAAAGTGTTCCAAAGAAAAAAGGCTAGTGAAATTTCTATATAATTGATTATAATTATAACAATTCTCTTAGTCATGTTAAAAAGAATTCAAGATGTCATGTATAGCATACTTATCTGTCTTGACTTGCAACAACCTACTCTATATTGTACATAAAGATGCCTATTTATGACACTTTTGGTTATGATGTAATATGACAAAATTTGGTATTCACAAAATTCAACTTACAATGAATGTTTGTCATAAGTTGTGCTACAATGCTTTCATGAATCTTGACCTTTTCTTCATTGTTTTAAACTCTTCCATTTTGTTTTGAAATCAAACTAATAGATTAGTGACTAGTTCTTTTAGTAATTTCTACATAATTTTCTAAAAGTGTTAAAAGAATTATTGCCAATATGAGTCAGTTTGCAAGTCTGTCATCATTTGAGACCCAAAAAATTTTTTCACTCAACATTTTGTGCAGAAAGTTACTTTTTCTATCCCAAAATAAAGTCAGCATATCATTTTAGATTCGTGATGGAATGAAGTACTGTGATTAGCAGAACATAACAGTTAATTACTACATGACAAATTGAAGCCAGTAATCCTGCAAAAAAGACAGATTGGTGTCAAAAGGTGTTCCTTAGCAGTACTTGCTTTCATACTGTGAATTTAACAGTAACCACCACAGAAGAGTTGAGTATGAAAATATTGCCACATCCTCCATATTAACAGGAAGTAAGATCAGGTGATTATTTGTTTGACCCTCTCAAGGAGGCTTAAGTGGAACTGTTTCAACACACGAAGTATGCAATGCAGTGCATTGTGATTCAATAACCTTTGGTTGTGTAATTAAAGATAAGAAGAATAAGTTGAACAGTAGCAAAATGTTTCAGAAAATTATCAATAAATATGTATTTATTAACACTTTTAAAGTTATTTATTGATCATGCCTCATTTTTTAACAAAATTAGACTGAGAAAATAATTAAATTTCTAATTTGTTTGTAAAAATGGATCTGTTTTCCTTTTAGGGATTGGTAGTACCAGTAATAAGGAATGTAGGAAACATGAATTATGCTGATATTGAAAAAGCAATTAATGCACTTGGAGAAAAGGTATTATTAATATCATGCAGATTTATTGGCTATAATAAATGATAAATTTCATTGAGTGAGTTTTTTTAGGCAAGACTTGGTAATCTTGCCATCGAAGACATGGATGGAGGGACCTTTACCATAAGTAACGGAGGTGTTTTTGGCTCAGTATTTGGCACTCCAATCATCAATCCTCCTCAGTCTGCTATTCTTGGAATGCATGCCGTCGTCGATCGCCCGGTTGCCATAAATGGAAAGGTGAGTACCTCATAGTAAAATATTTGTTATTGCCGACTCTTGAAATAAAATTACATTGTATTGTACAGGTGGAAATCCGTCCAATGATGTACGTCGCTCTTACTTACGATCACCGTTTGATAGACGGTAGAGAAGCGGTTCTATTTTTACGGAAGATCAAGGCTACGGTCGAAGACCCAAGAATGCTTCTGTTAGATATTTAATTTCGGAAGTATTGGAAGCAATTGCAATAGTATGTATTAGTGGTAAATGGCAAATGACTTTATTTAATAAGGAATGTCATGATTAAATAGCAAATAAGTACTCTTATTTGAATTTGTCTCCAAGAATGATTGTAAACAAGGCAATTGTTTTTTGAAGAAACAATTATTGTCATATTCTGAAACATTCAAGAATGCTGTTGTTTAATATAACAAATCTTGCCTGAAATGAAATATTTTTATTTTAGCAAATATTATTTTAGCTTTTATCAATTAATACATTATTTAAATAAAAGACAAGATTATTAATAAATTTTATTATTAAATTTTGACACTTCTAAAGGAATACTAAAAATTACATTTCAAACTTGTTCTTTAATTCTGAATGAGTATTTCTATCAAAATGATTTAATAGAAATAAAGAATTGTTTGAGTGATGTATTATAAAATATAAAACAGGTACTTAAATTCTAGATTTCTTTTTAAGTCATTTTGTAAACACACAGTATAATGAAATTCAGCAATTACTTTATACATATTTTTAGTTATAGATTCACATCCAAATTACTTCCATTTAAATGTATTATTCTCGTTTTGATAATAAACAGAAAATAAGATTCTTTAATTAATATTATATGTAAAATTGATAGCTACAGTGTTTAAGTACCAATGCAAATAAGCCCGGCAAGAAATTCTTATAAAAAATTTTGGTTCTTTATTTAATCAAACATATGTAATAAACTGCAAACCGAAAGGTGAGAGAACCATTACAATAATGTTAAGTAATTTAATTTTTGATACAACATAACTGTGTTGGACAAATGTAGCTGGACCTTATATCCTTATATCTGACATAAATTTATCAACAGATGGCTGATCGTTTTGAAATCAAACTAATAAATTAGTGACTAGCTCTTTTAGTAATTTCTACATAAAAATTCTTTTAACACTTTTAGAAAATACTGTCATCTATTCATTGCTGTGGCTTTATTTCATTGCATGTATAAAAAAAACTAACAACAACTTACAGGGAGATACAGAAATATCATTGTATCCTATCTGTATAGCTACACACAGCTCAGAAATGGGATGGCATTTTTTAATACTTACGAAAAAAATTTGAATTTGTATGCACAGTTGCCATAGAAAATAAAAAATAAATAGTAATAATTAAATGAAATTGACACTATGTCTGAAGGAATTTGTTTTCACAAGACAAAAATTACATATTAATATTTTAAATGAAATATTCCTGAAACAGGGCTGTAAGATTTGATTTTTTTAAATTTTCTTCACAAATTAAAAAAACAGGTGATTCAAATCCACTACCTGTATAAAAATTTTACCTGGCTGGCTTGGGGAAATAATTCGAAATTGCTAAAAAGTGGGTAATGACAATCAAAGTTACAAAAAAGTAGTACAATCAAATTCCTGTTGATCTTCTGCCAACCAATAAGATCTCAAAGCTAATAGATAAAAGCTATTATAGGTGGTGTTCAATCTTGTTTTGAAGATGGATTCCAAGATTTTGGAGGAAATAATTGAAGACACCTTACAGCACCTTGTTTAATGTAATAACTGGTCGATTGCCCAAATGAAGATCAAATTAAATAGTGATTAAAAGTCACAAATTTGTTGATATAATTTTATTCAGAAAGATTAATTATCAATTATGTATTTCATTATTATTCAAATCTTCTAAATCAATAATAGTACAGTAGAATCTGCTTATTATGATCACCTTGGGACTTGCAACTTTTGATATCAAAACTGACTAAACAGAGGATAAAAAATTTCTATTAAATGTTGTTAAACTCTTTGCAATATGAATGCATGCAATTTTATATAAATGTGTACAGGTTGTAAAACATATATGCTGCATTTCTCAAAAAGCCATTTTTAATGAAATGGATCACAAAATTAAACTAGAGAAATTGCAATAGGAATATTCATTCCCAAAGGTACACATCAAATGAAGATTTACAATAAATTTATTTTCTAAGAATTCTTATCATTTGTCCCAAAGTATAATTATAATAGGCAAATTTGACTAAACTATTTTTAGTGTGTTTGGGACTGACTGACAATGTTATCACTCAGCTATTATCATAATCTGTGATTATAATAACCAGATTCCACTGTATTTTGTAAAATACAGTTCTACAGTATTTTCTTAGAAATTCTTCACACACATCAGAAGACTTTCCATAGATGGCATGAATGTTTTGTCCACAGTCTGAGCCCCATTAGTTGATTTTAAACAGATTAAATGTGAAGATCAAGCTTCATTTATTGAGAGATCATGCCTTCAAACTTCTGAGTTTGTTTGATCATTCACTCTGTCTTTATCCTTGTTCTTTTCAGCCTCAATAGAATCTAAATGTCTTCCAATTCTTTCTCTTTTGCGACGTTCATCTTTGCCACAAGAAGTGTTGAACTGTTCAAATCATTCGTTTGATACCTGAATGCTAAGCTGTTCTTCATTAACTGGATGTGATCCATGTTTTGATCATATTTGCTATATCTTGGTTTCCTCTTTTGATATTTCCTTGGTTTTGAATATGTTGGCTGAAAAGTGTATATGGAAGAGCCTGATCAGTAATTCCTCAAACTACAAATTTTGTTTACAAACACTCTTCTTTTATTTGACTGAAGTATTGATGAACACCAAGAGTAAATATATGAAGCAAATGATTTGCTACTTCCTCAGTCCTCAATACTAATAACTTTCTTAAGTGGTCCTGATAAACTAAGATATACAGTCGACCCCCTATAACATGGTAGATACATTCCGTTCTTTATGAATCCATTTTGTACGAGTCCTTGCCAATCACAGCCCAGCATGTATGCACTTTACAGACTACAGCTGTTTGAAAGGTTTTCTTCCATAAAATTAATCGATTCTAGACTAATCCGACTCAACATTTCCAAAATACGTATATTTTTTTTGGAAATAATCCGTATAAACTACGCTATAAACAAAAAATTGTAGGATTACTTACCGAGTGTGCACCATTCGACATCGCCGTTGCTCAAGCTTGTTTTCGTCGCGGAACAGCACAGCAAACCGTGGCCGCGATTTCTGATGTTATTTCTCTGCGAAAACTTCGTTGAACTTTGGAGACATCATTAATATAAATAATTTTAATCGCCGTTGAATAAGAAATGTTTCTTTCACAAGAAATGTATAAAATTAC